GGTGAGAGCATTTGTTGATGAACAGCTGCCTCTTACCTCCGCCCTTCCTCTCCGCTTCCGAGGTACAGGACCTGAGGGAAGGAAGAGGTCAAGGGTCAGGGTCATGCCACCTTAGGCACAACTGACAAGTACTACCCATCAGGATGAGAGAAAATGAGAGGCTGAGCCCTGAACCTGACCAAGGAAAGCTGTGTGAGGAGGGCTGGGCTAGCCCGGCAGGTAAGGGTGCCTCACCTGCCCCACCCATCCAGGCCTCACATTACCCCCTCTGAGCTGGGAGGGGCAGCAGCCTCCGCACCAACCCAGCCTACAAGGCCTGCACCCCCGGAGAAGCCTCGGTTCCACATGGGTGGGGCCCCTTCACACTGTGGACAGCAGGCAAAACCACCTGACAGGTGAGGGTTCTCTGAACAGCCCAGGGCACAGAGTGAGTCCCTGAAGGAACCCCTAGCTGTGCAGCCATTCCTTCTGAGGAAAAGAAGGAACTTTGGAGCCAGTCACTGCTACGTCTTCAGATGAAGGCAGCACTCATCATCGCTGTCCACCAGGCCCAGGGCCGGCACTCCAGGAGCTTTATCTATCATCTGAATTTGTATATAAAGCCTCTTAAGTCAGCTACCACAGACAGGGCTCAGCTGCAGCCCTGCAGCCATCCCATGACCTCCCAAATCCTCAGACCTGCGGGACTGGGGGGTGGGGGTGAAGTTCTGCTCACACCCCAGAGGGAAAGGGCAGTGACTTCCCCCCAGAGGCACTCTAGGCCAAGGTAAAGCCAGAGAAGCTGCTGGCAGGTACCTGCACCTGCGGTGGCCTCACGTGTGTCAAGAGGCTGTGGCGACTTTTACCTCATTGACCTCAGAGCGAGTCCTGGGCCACCCAGCCACCCTCCAGGGAGACCTCCCTCCAGGCCTGAATCTGGGACCTTGGGACAGAATACCCAGGTCAGGACCCAGAGAGGCCAGGGGCTCCCCACACAGTGGTACAGCCTACAAGGCCACCTCATGCCAACCAGAAGCAAGTGCTTGATGTAACAGAAGAGAAGAGCGTGAGGTGTGTGACAATGTTGGCCCCACAAAGGACATCCCTGTGGGAACAAGGAGCTCCCACCCCCACCCCTAACCTGAGGCCCTTGGGCAAGGGCACCTATGAGACAAGCCCCAGACCCTGCAAGCTGTGGATCAGGTACAACCAGGCAAAAACCATCCATTAAAGGGGAGGCGCAACATGGGCACCCATCGTGTGCACTTAGGCAGGGGCCATGTAAGCAAGGACGGCAGCTGGTGGAACTCGGGCCTGCTCTGTAACCACAGTCCACGGCTCAGAGAAGGTGAGCATTAACCACACAGTTACCTGCCTCCTAGGCAGATGTCCTTCCATCAGATGGGAACCATTATCTATCTAAAAGGTCCCCAGGGGCCTGTGGCCATGATGTTCCCGCTTGACTCACATAGCCAGGCTCAGAGGACTCCCCATTTCTCGCTCCCAGTATGCTCAGAAGCAGGAAATCTGCTAGAGGCCATGGCTATTTCCATCCATGAACTTCTCCAGTGTACAGACCAGAGGAAAAGCAATTCAGAAATGGGCTGAGCAGAGGAGCCGGTGGATTGCACAGCCACAGGGTCAGATAGATGGGTCACCAGGAGACAAAGACAGTAGTCCCCATGTGCAATGGAGGTCACATCACCACCAGGGAAAGGAGGAGAGCACCCAGGGTGCACACACACACGTATATATGCACACATGCGCATAGCCCAGGACAAGGAAGAGGGAACAAAGTATGCCTGGGGCAGGGGCAGAAGAGAAAGAACACTAGTGCCCCAGGGGTCTGCAAAGGTGACAGGAGGACCCAACCACCCTCTCGGCCACCTCCAAGCTCAGCTCTCAGCAGCTGCAATGCATGATTTGTTGGCTGGATGCCTTTTAGAGAAAAGCAGAAAGTGAGGGGAGACCATGTCAGCCACCCTTGCTCCGGATCTCTGCTGGTGAAGCACCAGCAAGGCAGCAAGAGGAGGGAGAAAAGCTTGGCTCAGTCTACGGGGTGTTCCTGCTTGCACGCCGCCTCCCACGCGTCCCCGGGCCCTGGTGCCAGGCAGCGCCTGAGACACTCTGTGCACACTTATCCCAGGGAGCCACCACCACCCTGGGGACCAACGCCCAGAAAGCCTCCAGCCAACCCTGGGTCTGCACAAACAGGACAGACACACCCACCGTCCACACCGTCCCTGGGTGTTCTTATCACAGTTGATCACCAGGAATATACCCTAGCCCCTTTCCCCATCGCCATGGCTTCTGGCCTGCTGGGGAGACCCTATGGGGTCCTCTCCTAGAGTTGGGGCCCTGGATTCTGCCTTCTAACAAGTGCTCTGGGAAACACCATCCCACGCCCTCCCTAGATGGCTACTGTCTCCCACCTCCTGGCTTCTGCCCTAAGAAGCCTTCCTAAGCCCACTCACCACACCTTCAGGAGGCCTACTGGGCCTTTTACAGTTATGCCCAAGGCAGGCCTGACAATCCTCGCCCACAGCCTTTATTTGGGGCAGTGGCCTCCACATCACTACCAAGAACAGGGTCCCTGGGCATGTTTAGAGCCACTCCTAGCCAGGAACACCCAGTAAGCCAGGCAGGCAACTTGATGGTGCATAGCAACGCCTGCAAGCCTGGTTCACACTCAGCCAAGCCCTCCAAAACCACAGGGCCTCTAGCAACAGAGCTAGGCATGAGTCCCTGATGCAAACCACTGGCATCGATGGCAGTCACCCTGTTAGGACAGGAAGGGACCACCGCTCACATCCCAGAGCCCAGGAGAACGCGGTGCTAACAGCAGGGCAGTGCAAGGGCACAGGCTTCAAAGCCCCATGGCAGGGTAGGGAGGAAGCCAGGCAGGCCACCCTGGGAAAGGAGTCTTTTCATGCGGGAGAGAAAATCCCATTGTGAAACTGCCCAGCCCTCACCCTGACACAGCGGACACAGAGCCCATTAGTTAGTCAATAGGCAGCCACAGCCCCCACTGGGAACAGAGGGGGTGCTCAGCTGGAGAACCCCGCCTTCAAGACAGCGAATCACTAGGCAGGGGCTGAGCTTCCCAGGCCAATTGGCCACTGCCAGGCTTGGACATTCTGTTCTCAGGGCAAGAGCCTCATGTGACTGCCCCCCCTCCCCCCGCCCCCTCGCCAGAGCAAACACTGCAGCCGGAGACAGGCACATTATGCAGCAGGCCTGGCCCCAGCCTCAGGTCAGTTGGGCACAGTTGCTTGCACTTGGGAATCCAGATGCAAGTGAGGGCCCAGCCTGGAGAGGAGCAGGCACCAGCACAGAAACAGGGCATTTTGCAAAGAAAGGGCAGGTCTGGTCTGTACTTCCGCAGGCAGCAGGGGGTGACCTAATTCTGACTCAGCAGGGTGGGTCAGGGAAGTACCTGTCTGTCTCCACACTCACTGCCAGAGAACAGGCCCTGCAGCAAGCTGGTGGCCTCAGGGGGAACCCAGGCCAGCTTGCCAGCCATTCCCTGGTGCACACTCCCTTCTCCAACGATGCCTGGGCAGGCTGCAAACCCACCAGACAGAGCCCACCTGCGTATCAGAAAACCATCTCAGGGGCCAGGAAGGGTGGGGCGGTGGGACCCACTCAGCAGGTCAGGGATGCTCCCAGAAGAGACGCTTTGGCAGAGCAGGAAGTCTCTGCGCTGGGGCAGGCACATCTTCTGTAACTGGCTGGAGAGTCCTATTCTCAGTCTTGCGAGCCATTCGGCATGTCTGCCACAGCTACTCAACTCTGCCCCGCAGGGCGAAGGAAATTTGAATTTCATGTAATTTTCACATGTCACAAAATATTATTCCTGCTTTGATTTGTTTCAACCATTTGGAAATTCAAAAACCATTCTCAGCTTGCAGACCGTACAAAACCAGGCCGTGGGTGGGATCAGCAGTGGGGCACAGTGTGCGGGCCCCTGTTCTCGCTGCTCCTCCAGCCTTGGACACACCAGGTCCCCAGGAAAGCCCAGGTCTGTAATCCTCTCGAGGCGAGAACGCAAGAACCCCAGACTGAACCCAGGAGGGCTTCCTGGAAATGGGGCTGACCAGCTCTCCAAGCCCCCCCTCCCAGCCCGGCCT